CAAACATCCAACCGGCTTGAAAGTCACACACACCACAAGCTTCCTGCCATGATGCTCAACCTTCAATCATGATACTACAATCAAACATCCACTCCGACTGAAAGATGCACTTGGTCACACACACCACAAGCTTCCTGCCACGATGCTCAACCTTCTTGACACTACCAGACCAGATCTGATACAATTCCCTGATGAATGTATTTGGTTATCTTTCAAATTGGATGACCGATGTCTGTGTGCATGTTTAAAGCTTCCTGGATGTGCCACGCCAGATATGCTAATCTGTGCTGAGATACGGATTATGCCAGCGGAATATTAGCTAAAAGCCTTACAGATAATAATAACTTTAATCGGGTTTCAACCAGACGCAATACTTCATGCCCTACATGCACTGCAAGACGTAAATCATAAAATTGCAAATTCTGCATTGCTGTTTTAATCCTTACAACTGAAGATTTGAAGACTGGGTGTTACACAAACTGACATTTTTAGTCTGGTGACAAAGATTGAAAGGTCTGGATGTCAATGTTTGATTTTTTAAATCAGTTTGAAAACATATAAACCACAATTAATCTACAATCAGCAGCTGTTCTGCTCTGCCACTGTGACCTGTGAGCTTCATGTCTGGTGCATGTAAACCCAAAAAGGTTTGCTGACTCATCCCTGCTCGGGTCTCATATGACGTCAATAACATAGTTACTATGGTTACCTGTATACGTTGCTTCAGTGTTCAACATATTCAGAACAGCATCCCACTTTGTGTACAAAACATTTCCTTCCATGAGATCTGTCAACAACCCATGCTCAAAGCTGTTCACTAGAGTGGTCATATTTATGACTTGTGCCACTCTTTCCCAATCTGTTTACATTGATCTGACACACTATGATATTTTAAAAGCCGTTCAAAGTCGATTTAAAAGCACTAAGTACCCGTTTCTTACACTTGAGTTGATGACAGTAGTCTGTGATCAAAGAGACTACACAAACAAAACAAGTAAAAATGTTCTTTTTTACAATGTGGCATTGTAGAATCAATATGCTCAAGTCTTTCGCAACTTCAAATAGAATCTAAAATAACTGACATTTGCAAAGCAGGTATTGTAGGCCATTGTTAATCTTCAAGGTTTATGATTCCATTGTGAACAGATTTATTTTGTTTGTCGGTAGAGTTGACAGTTTACTGTAATATCCAAAAACACATATGAAAGTTACAGTTACTATTAAGGAACCTTTTGTCAGCTCTGTCGCTGCATATCATATTAACTGGAATGTCGAAAAACATGAAATTCAATGCAGGCTGATAAAAACAACTTGATTAGAATGGACAGATCCCATTTCAATTTGATCATAGAATTTTTTTTATATTTTTTATCCTACAGGAAACAACCGTTTGACAAGTTACTGCCTAGTCAAAAATCAATACTGAAAACACCTCCCACAATGCAACATCACTAATTACATCTTGCCTTTCATCTCAAAGCATAAAAGAATCAACAAATGGATATGTGAAATGTTTGTTAAAAAACAAGACATTTTCCATTAAAGAAGGATTGGGGTCATGAAATCCCACTGACAGGTCAACTAGCAAGAGTTACCTGAGCTACCAAAACTTTCTGCCACTTTCAGAAGTCCAGAATTATTGTACCTGGGGGACGTTTGTGAGCATGCGAGTGCATGTGCGTGTGTGACTGTGGTTTTATTGAATGTTCTGTATTGCATGTGCATGTGTGTATATGTATGAGTGTCTGCTTGTGCTAGTCCAGAGTATTGCCATTATTCATGGTGCCAGCCGATCGCAGTTAAAAAATGAATACTCTACTCAGCTTCTCAGTTGACCAATCTTTGGATCCTCTTAATGCCTGAGGGGTGGTGGGGTAGCCTAATGGTTAAAGTGCTTGCTCGTCACCCTGAAGACCCGGGTTCGATTCCCGAAATGGGTACAATGAGTGAAGCCCATTTCTGGTGTTCCCCGCCGTGATATTGCTGGAACATTCCTAAAAGCGGCGTAAAAACATACTCACTCACTCACTCACAATGCCTGGCACCAGGCAGGGAGACAACAACAACCACCTATTAATGACTTTTCCTAAGACATGCCTGCTCTCCATGCAGATGTTACAGCCACTGGACCACAGAGGCAGTCAGAATGAGCAACAATGATAATGACAAGACCATGAAACAGTTACAAGAATGAGCGACTCGAGTTCATTCAAGCCAAATTGACACTCAGTCAAAAGAAGAGAGATCCAGAGGGTTTTTCATGTCGAAATGTCAGAAATGTAGGATTAACAAACAATATTGGCCAGACTAAAGGACTGAGGACATATTCTGCCTAGGAATTTCTGTGTGGTACAAGCAATTGAATATAGTGCAAAGACCAGGTGCATTAAAGCACAATTGTGTACTCTGATGCCTCCATTGGAGTGAGTTAGTGAGTGAGTATGGTTTTACGCCACTTTTAGCAATAATCCAGCAATATCACGGCGGGGGACATCAGAAATGGGCTTCACACATTGTACCCATGTGGGGAATCGAACCCGGGTCATCAGCGTGACGAGCGGACACTTTAACCACTAGGCTACCCCACCGCCCCCTGCCTCCATTGAAGATCAAGTCAGGGAAATCCAGAGCGCACTCTGACCAGCTAAAGATTTCTAAAGTAATTGAGTTTCATTTCATTACCATCATGATTAAGAAATTTTGACCTCGACAGAAGAAACCCAACACAGAAAACTTTCTCCCCTGAAGTAGATGCCAAGATGCTGGGAAATGACAGGAAATTAATCACAATGATATAAAAGCATTGCTTCTATCATATTCCATTTTGAACTATTCAGTATTTCAGGTACAGTAATCAGATATATGCTGCTTTGAATGGTTTGCTTCATCATACTGAGAATATAAAAGCCTCAAAGGTTATTGGAAAAGAGTTCTTCCGTGAAGAGTCTGTCAAATCTTTATAAATAACATTTCAAAATTTCAAAATTTCCAGGGTCCGCTGGGAATGGGTTCCTATGTACTTTAGCTACAACTGGTGAAAGTAAAATGTTTGTGGACCTAATGTGTGAATAGGTGGATGTTTGTTCATGACATCAACCACTGGGTAAGGCTATACTAAGCTGGGATCTGCATCAATATCACTGGAATAATGTAGATTGGGATCTTAGCTACTGTCTCCGAAATAGGGCAACACATCACTGGTTCAATGAGAAGGGGAGATAACTCCTACAGATAGTGCTTGGGAAGACCACTGGGAAGAAAGTGTTAGATGGACATATTTGTTGGAATTATGTAAATCAGGATATTAACCACCTATCCCCAAATAGGGCATCTCATCACTGGCTCAATGAGAGCTTCCTGTGTACATGATAAGTGTCAGGAATAAATTGGGAGTTTATCTCTGGTCACTGGTTATAATCAGTTTGTTGCAAGCAATCAATACTAGATCATTATAACGTGAGTGGTTCTGACTTGCTGGTGCTGTGGTACACAAAGCTCACCAAGTTATGTGGACACATGAAGGGAAATCTGAACAACGTTCTCGTCAGAGTGATTCTCATGCTAATGATCTGCATCTTACACTTCATCAGGCATTGATGATTTCCTTCATCCAACCATGGCAATGATAACATTGATTGACCAATTAACCCTCCACAGACATGAGTCAACTCACATGTAGACATCCTCTATTATTGTCTCACTGCACAAGTTAATTGGGCAACTTTAAGAATTCAGTCATATTTGAAGAGTTGTGTTCGCTTCATGAATCCAATAGAAACAATTTTTTTCAAATTTTACTGTAATGCCAAGGTAGACTTGGCTAAAAATTAGATATATTTGTTTAGAGGAACTTGTCCTTGATAAAACTTGCTTCAAAGATTATCATTTTTCAAATTTAGTCAAATATGAATTTGGAAGAAAGTAAGATGGTTTATGGATAACAACTTCTTTTATTATATATGATGTGACGTTTCGGTATGGATTCTTATACCGTTGTCAAGCAAGAGTGAGTTAGTCACCAACTTCTAAATGCCAATCAAACAGATCATGAATTTGGAAACATCAAATAATCAGATATAGTTTCATTTTTGCTGGTTTATGGAATTTTCAGGAAATATAACCAGTTTGCCAATGGTGGGTTAAAATCTGACAGGTACATGTACCTGGACTTTGTCCTTTACACTGACTGACTGACTGAGTTTAGTTTTACGCCGCTTTTAGCAATATTCCAGCAATATCACGGCGGGGGACACCAGAAATGGGCTTAACACATTGGGGAATCGAACCCGGGTCTTCGGTGTGACGAGCCAACGCTTTAACCACTAGGCTACCCCACTGCCCCTTGTCCTTGACAAACTGTGACTAAATGGGAAGACACAAGGCATCTATTCTCTGTGCACTGCATAGGGTTTTTACTTGCATTTAAAAATAAAAGGAGGATTGATATCTCTATTGTTTTCTTTGTATATCTATCTATTCGCTTATTGTTTACTAGGATTGGTGAAGATAAGAGTATTTCTAGCAAAATTAATTTTTTCCCTTAACTCAGTATTTTTTAAAAGCAGATCCACAAACCAGATTTAAAATATGGCTAACTGGGAGATAACAGTATAGGGCGACATGACACATTCATAAGTAAGACAACCAAGTACATAGCACTGGCCTTAATTTGAGAAAATATGGCATGCAGAAATTCTGCCATATTAACAACATTTTGCCTTCTGTTGACATTTAGAAAGTTTCCACTATTTCAGAGCTATATGTTACAATATGATATTGTGAGCCTGACCGTTTCTTTGGAATTTCATATACCCAACTTAAAGTAATTAGATTTTAAAGACAACACGATATTGCATTCAATCCTGTACTCGACAATGACTGCAAGTTACCAGTTGTCATTCGAGGAACAAAAACAATGTTAAACAAAAATAAGCAAAGTCCAACAAAGTATATTTATAACAAATTACAAATATCCATGAAAATTATAAAACTGAACTCACCTGACAAGTTCTATGACTTTTTCTCGCGGAGCCTTACGCACATCTTCTCCATTAATCCTGAGAATCTGATCTCCGGACAGAAGTTTGTCGACACTCGGTCCACCTGTCGGGACAAGACACAAATGTCAACAGAGCAGATACAAAGTTTGGGCAAGTCAGGTGAGTGTTAATGAGGGACACAGGTAAATCTCAGGTGTGTACATACCTGCACACATGTGCAAGGTCAAGATTTGACATCGATCAGTTTTCATGGTAAATACATGACTTTAATTCATTCCAATTTACACCTGTCAAAGAAAAAATAAACTAAACATTCTTATTTTGAAAATATTCAGTTTCCCAAGTAAACATTCAACTTTAGGAGTCATCCATCTGATTGTTATTTCCATAGGCAGCAGTTGTTTAGAGTTAATAGTTATTTTCAATGCCAATTCACAAAGACATTCATCATTCTAGAGTAGAATCTAAAACAAAACCCATCAGTCAATCTCAATATCACATTATTCAAGATGAAAAACAAAATAAACATGCATGGCCAAAGTAAATAGCTAATATGATTGTAAAATCCCACTGGAAATCAAATTCTGAACTACCTTACCAAAATAAAGTGATGGTAAAAGCATTGACGAATTGCCCATGTGCTCCTGAAATTTGATCACTTAATCTACGACAGGCCTTCCACAGTGTAGGTTACCTGATTTAGCATGTACGTCTTGTGAATCCTCCTCAGGGATTCAATGGGATAGACATTAAATGGATTGGACGATTTCACTGAACTTTATCCTGACAATAGGGATCTAAATCACTTAATATTGACAAATACCAAAATAACTGAAGCATTGTTAAAACATTAGGATTGAGTACAAAACAATCCCTGTGAGATTCTCCTTGAAGTTTTTTGTGTTCTGGACGGACTTCAGCGCAAAGTGTTTCTCATCCACCATCATAACCTAATATGTCTCTTTACCAGCAACCTGACCCCAGCTTTAAATGGTATTCAAATACACATTGAGTAAGTCAAAACAACACTGGGCAAGTCTCCAGTTTCACGGTGGACACAGAGAACCTTACCTGAGAGTCCTTTGTTATCAAATACATCAACCCAAGTGGGAAATATCATACACCTCCGATGCTTTCAAAGGAGTTTTAAAGTTGTATCAAGTGTTGATTTCTTTGAAATATGAAGACAAGTGGGTGAGATTCTATTATAAACAGTAATAACCAATATCCTGAGTCCTACTAACAACAAGTAGTAGGGACATCAGTGATGTCATTTGATTGTGACATCATGTTAACTAATGATGTTACAATGGTTTGGAAAGTTTGCATGTCCTAAATGATATTGTTTGATCTCATCCCAGTGAAATCTCTAGTTGAATCCAATTGGGGAAGAAAAATACATTGTCACAGGCAAAAAACCTTGGTTAATGTGGCACCCCTTACTTCATATATTCTACTCTGAGTTTGATATCAGCATGATCTTAGACTTCTTTCATTCCAATAATCAGTAACCAGATGATATGATGAATTGCAATGTTGCCCACTATTTTAAAGATTAAACAATGTTCCAATCATAAATGAATAAATACTATGCTATGTTAAAGGTGAAGTTCATTTTCAGGTATTTGTTAAAGCTGAACTGTACTATGGGCTTGGTGGTCTTACATACTGAATAAACTGTCAAATTGTCGCTTCTTGGAAAAGACAAATAATAAATAATATTGAGCTGTGTTGCAAAAATGTGTTGTCATATTTACAACCATCCTCTACAAACATTAGCAAATATGAAACGCAGACAGGTTTTGCTTGAACACACTTCACTCAGTCGAGAAGGAACATAAAAGCTGGAGTTTTCCTTCTTGAAACTTCACCGTGTTTCTTTAGATGTTGAGCACATGATCTCTGGAAGGTTCACTCATGTGTATAATCACTTTTTAGGCGTATCAGTTTGCAGATTTTTTTAAGCCCTTAGCATACAGATGACTGGTAAATAATTGCGTCATTTCACCATGTACTTGGGAAGATATTTACCACTAAATGATCGGTAAATCTCATCCCCAGGGCAAAAAAATGACATTTGAAGAACTCTTCACGTAACAATCTCTGCTGTAAGGACATCCAGCACCTAGATATCCTCCTGTACTAACGAACCTATCACGGTAATGAAGTCGTTAAGGGCCAAACAGATTCCTTCAGCTAAACTGGTCAACAATTTCCCAGCAGTATATGAGCAGCCTCTGTGGTGTTTGACAAAAGTAAGATACACAAGGCTGCAAGGCTTTCCTGAAATGAGACGTCACCAAAGGGAAAAACATTTTTGATGATTATAGGCTTGGGTATTGCTGGGAGTCCAAGTGAAGCTTTTCAGACAAGCTCTTGTTTCGCCATCTCATCTACTCACAAACTGACTCTAGTACATTCACAGCCTGGCTTTCTGTCTATTCATGTGAAACCCTAAAGCAACACAACTCCACAGCAGCTTTCTGTCTATTCATGTGAAACCCTAAAGCAACACAACTCCACAACGGCTTTCTGTCTATTCATGTGAAACCCTAAAGCAACACAACTCCACAGCAGCTTTCTGTATATTCATGTGCAACCCTAAAGCAACACAACTCCACAACGGCTTTCTGTCTATTCATGTGAAACCCTAAAGCAACACAACTCCACAACGGCTTTCTGTCTATTCATGTGAAACCCTAAAGCAACATAACTCCACAGCAGCTTTCTGTCTATTCATGTGAAAACCTAGAGCAAACAACTATACAATGGCTTTCTGTCTATTCATGTGAAACCCTAAAGCAACACAACTCCACAGCGGCTTTCTGGCTATTCATGTGAAACTCTTGAGCAAGCAACTACACAACAGCTTTCTGTCTATTCATGTGAAACCTGAGAGCAAATAACTATACAATGACTTTCTAGTTGATCATGTGAAACCTTAGAGCAAATAACTATACAATGACTTTCTAGTTGATCACATGAAACCCGAGAGCATATAACTACACAATGACTTTCTAGTTGATCATGTGAAACCCTAGAGCATATAACCAAAGCTCTGCATGTGAAACCTTCATGTAGATGACAACAGCATGGCTTTCTGGTTGGCAATGTAAAACCCAAGTCATTTATATGTCAATCTATCGGAGCTAAAAATCAACTTTAGGATAGCCTGGTCATTTCTCTTCACATCAGAAATCAACAAAATCCTGTTTACAAGAATGACATGCTCGACATGACACATTTTCCTGCTGGATTAAATCTTGTTGCTGGCGGTCAACAGCTGAGTGATATTGGCCAAATAATGCCATCAGGGATGGTGTATATCTAATATTACTCCTGTTTTTAGCCAACTTTGATGGCAAATCTTGCCTCGGGTTCTCACTGATAAATAGATGTAGGTAATTGTGACATGAACGGCAAACCCAAGACTGGAATATGATTGGCTGTGAGAGATGAAAGCCGCAGCCACAGACATGTGCAACACTGTGTGCTCAGATGGACATCAAGTATACAGTTTAATCAAACAATCATACAGCTATATTTCTGGGAAGCTGAGATGACAGACATGTTGGCCTCTTTGATTCCTAGTCTGCATCCACATAGATGTAATTAGACTGGCAATCTCCAGCCTCAAAATAGTCCTATCTTTACCACAAGTTGGTGCACAAATTGGCAGCTGATGGCTTGGGTTCATCCCTGCTTCATACAGGACAAGAATTTCCGAATCACTTCATCCCCATTTTGATCAGAGTATCATTCCTTCACCATCAATATTCAATAAACATTTAACAATTTATTAAAAAGATGGAGTGGAGAATGAATTTTTAACAATCCAAATAAAAAACCCTGTCAGTATGAAAGTGAGTTAGTGTGTTTATGTCACTTTCAACAGTAATTTAGTTCTATCAGAGCCTGTCAACTTGAAGAGAGATTAAAGCTCTGAGTCATGCAGGTCTTTGACTGTACCAGATTTGTAAAAACCGAATATTCTCTCTTTTTATTTGATTTAAAACAAAAATGGGCTTCTTTTCAGGGTTTTTTCACACTCTTGATTAGTGTATCTGACAAGAGAAAAAGAACCCAAACATATAAAACATCAAGATAATTTTTTTCATCTATTTTTATCCTGTTGATAAAATAAAGATTTTCACATTTAGTGTGAACAGCAGTAGAGGTGATACAGAAATTTCACGATACGATACGTATCGCGATATCATGGAACGATACGATTCGATACAATGCATATCACGATATGCTATCTTTAGTTATTTTCTTTAAAAAGTGTATATTGATAACAAGAAACAGTGTAAATTTTGACGTAACCGTCAATTTCTGGTGAAAATTCACAAGTTTAAGGTCAACAATACATATCATGATACGGAAAAAAGTATCTATATATTTATTGTCAGAAAAAGTATCACGATTATCGATACTACGATATATCGTCACAACTCTAAACAGCAGTGATAAATGTCATGTAAAGCTTCTATTACACCAAACTTTAAAACAGAGGATAGAAAATATATTTGGCAAAAGTCTTAATCATTTTGTTTCAGGTTTGTCATTTGGTTGAGTTAACCAACGAAAAAAATTATACATCTTGTTCAGCAGTAAATCAACCAGCATGATTATGTAATAGCGAGTGAGTTTAGTTTTATGCCGCTTTTAGCAATATTCTATCAATATCATGGCCGAGGACACCAGGAATGGGCTTCACACATGGTACCCATGTGGGGAATCAAACCTGGGTCTTCACCATGATGACTGAATGCTTTAACCGCAAGGCTACTCCACTGCCCCAGATTATGTAAAACAAACACACTATAAAGCAGAAGCACAGTAACGTTCCTATCCACAAAACTTAATCATTTCCCAGACACAAAACACAAACACTCTATCACTCAAACTTCTTCCAAACGCGAGTCTGTTGTTAACCAGCTTGCATTGAAAACATGTGCACCTTGAACTTCCATCCCTAACACTGGCATGTACAGGTCAAATACAAGAACAATTCTCCAGACCAGGGCCTAGATTTCCGAAGCTCTCTTAGCGCTAAGATAGTCGTAAGTGCCATGCATTAACATTAACTTACGACTATCT